GCATCTGTCTCTCAGAAGCTTGGCTGAGGGCTTGTCACCCCATTCCTGGATGTGCACTAGGTTCACAGAGAATGTCTTTAAACAAACAAACAAACAAAACTGGTGCTTTCGTGAGCTTGAGGCCAGCCTGGTCTACACAGTGAGTTCCAAATCAACAAGGGATACATAGTGAGGCCCTGTCTCAAATAAACAACAAACCCCCAAACACCAGTGTTTAAGACCTGCTCTAAGCTAATTCAGTTGGAGCCCAGAAGTGAGGCCCAGGAGTTAGCATTTCACAACGCCCTCGCTCGGGGTGGCATCCAACACAGCTTATGAGAACCAGGGAGCATGACTTTGTGTTGCCCTCCATCCAGATGAATCATGGCTAGCAACTGGCATATAGGGGCCCCACACCCAGGAGCAGAGCTTCAGGTCATTGACATGAGAGTACCAGTGGCCCCTTCACTAGCCTTGTGGCCCTGGCCAGTGGTATGAGCACTTGGAGAGTGTGTATCCTCATCAAAGAAACAGAAGCACTGTGGAGAGTACCAGGGCCATGGATACAAAGTGGTGGCCACGAACCTGCCAGCGTTCCCTGACCCAGTGCCCTCTATCTGTATGGGCTAAAGGTGGTTCTCCTACTTGTCATCAAGATTTAGGAATTAGGAGGTTTTCATTTATGCATTCACATTCCACCTTGTCTTGGAAAAACTGAGCCTCAGTTTCCCCATGGGCCCCATTGCCATAGAGCAGTACCATTCAGTCACTTCCACTCCTGGACCTGTCTGGAAGTCCTGTGACAGGTGCCCTTGACAGAGCATTAAATTAGATAAAACATTTTAAGGGGATTATACCATTGCCTGCCTCATTTTAAGTAGTTTGTAAAGAGGTATTCTTCTTGCTTGGATTTCATTATTATATTGTTCTTTTCATTTCCTGAGTCTGGTTCCAACCCCCGGGATGCTCATGCCCAACCTTGCATGAAGGTCCTCTCAGGGCTCTCCTGCAGCTTTTCTGATAGGAGCAGATCTCCCTGCAAGAATGTACACAGCCCTGGCTCCTTAGACCCCACCTGCTACACACCAGAGACAGGTTTCCACCAGCAAACACAGGAAGCTGTTTCCCTGGCAACCCCAAGTCACCGCTTTATGCTGGTACCCTTTGTGGTTGGAAAATAGCAGGCACCTGGCAGAAGCGAAGGGAAGGCAGTGGATGCAGAGACGGGGCCCAGGTCACAACTATTCTATCCTCTGCAGGTGACCTCCCCCATCCCGGTCCTCTTGCTTGGGACACTCTCCTCTTGGGGTCTGGTATGAGTTGGAAGGGCCTTATTGGCCTGGGCTGTCTATCACAGGAACGAACTGCTCAAGACAAGCTCCCGGAAACGTGGTCATAGGACTGGGAGAAGTGCTGCCTGCTTGAAGGGGCTAGGCTTGTGCACAGGGGACAGCTTAGTCATAAAGTGGTGGCTGTTCAAGCATCACAACCTGAGGTTAGATCTTCAGGACCTGCATGAAAAAGCCAGGAGCAGAGGCGAAAGCCTGCCATTCCAGTGCTGGAGAGGTGGAGGAAGGAGGACCCCTGGGGCTTGATGGCAAACCAGTATAGCTGAAGTGATGTGTTTCAGGTTCAGAGAGAGTCCATGTCTCAAAAAGATAAAGTGGAGAGTACCCGAGGAAGACTTCTGGCCTCCTCATGTACACACACACACACACACACACACACACACACACACACACACACACACACACACACACACACACACGCGCGCGCGCGCCCACATGCACACACACACACACGCGCGCACACACATGCACACACACACACACACACATGCACACACATAGAGCTTAGATTTCTTGGGCTGAAAGTAACCAGCCATGTCTATTCTAAGCCATTTCTATTCTAAAAATTAAATTAAATTGAAGGGGCTCCAGAGGAATAATCCAGGTCTTTAAGCTTTGAACCACGTCCTAGAAATCTTGGTCAAGGGCACTCAAATGTATTGGTGACATTTAAAGAGAAGAATAGAGATGGCTTAACTTTCCCTGATGACAATAAGCAGAAACACAGGCTGCTTTCCAGCCCCTGGGGTGGGGGAGGGGTGAGCTGGGCTCCAGGTAGCTTTGATTCTTTGGCTCAGGCCTGGGCTATTACCTGTGCCTACCTCTGTCAGTAATTACCCACTCTGTGGTTAAACATTGGCCCTGAAGGACTGTGCTGTCTTCTCTGGATGTGAGCATGAGGTCCAGGCTGGCAAGCTTCTATGTCAGCTTCACTCTGTCTGACTACCAGCCAACTCACCCATGTATCAACCTAGGGTGTTATCAACACATGGAAGGCCTTGACCTAGAAAGGGACAAACACTCTGAGCAGATGACACTACGTGGTTGCCAGGGTGGTGCTGTTGTTATTTGTAAAAAGCAGCCAGCTGATATTTATGAGTGCCTTTGCACAAGATGCAGCGCGAGGCACACAATTGCGCAGAGCTTAGCATCTTTACAGAATATTAGATTTGTGCCGAGCCTAGCTACATAAATAGAGGCATCCCAAATCCTCTCAGGGGTCTAATTTGATTCCTCCCATCCAAGGGAGCCACAAGAGGCTTTACAAAGGGAGCCGTACTTCCATAATGGCTCCTGGTGGCAAGGAAGAGAGGACAGTGAGTCCTTTCCAGTGTCGCTAGTGGTCTCCCATCCGAACAGGAAGCCTGGGTGGGAGCTGTGGTTGGCGTGAGTCCCTGCAGATGTGAGCTTGGTGGATACTGACTAAGCAGCGGGTCTCAAGTTCATAGCCAAAGGGTAGTGGGGCTTAGAAGCTGAGACCTCCAGGGGCCTCAGGCTTGTCTAGGCATGATGTAACTGATGCAAATGTGCGTTTGGATTTATGCTGATCTACTTGCAATTCAATTTACAACCAGCACAATTGCTGGATAAAGTGATATTTCTGGGGAGCAGAGAAGTGTGAACAAAGCAGAAATGATGGGGAAGGGGGTGGAGAGAGTGGGTCTGTGTTTGAAGATGAGGAGTAGAGGGAGGGGGTACTGGAGAGCCTAGGGCAGAACTTGGGAGGGAAGGAACAGCCATCCCTAGGGCTGAAGAATTTCCATCTGATCCTGGGAATGGGGTCCCCACAAGGACAGGCATGAGGGGGAGAAGGGATTAAGTAAGAAGGAAGATGGGAGGGGGAGTGGAGGAAGGGAGGGAGGGAAGGGGAGAGAGACTCTTACCTCTTACCTAGCTCCCTTGTCCCATCCCAGTTAAGTACCAGCCACTCTAGGCTTGATCCCTGGCCTCTCTCTGCAAACACTTTACATACCACTGATAAATAACAACACTAATGTTGGCCCAAGCCTATTTAGAACTAATCAGATAATCACCTTCTGGGAATTACACTCATGCATCATGAGGCCCTCATCTGCAGAGTCAACCAAGTACTGTTTGGGAGGAATCAAACCTCTGCATCTGTATTAAAGGTAGAGATGGTTTTCTTGTCAGCACACCTGAAGAACAGAGCAGAGCAATCATGTTCCTAGCACTTATGCTGTAGGTATTGGATGTCACCTGGGATGATGTGGAGGTTCTACACATGCACCATACCATGCTGTAGAGAGAAATGGAGAATCTTGAATTTTAGTGCTGGTGGAGTTCTAGAACCAATAGATGCCAAGAGATGGATGACTGTCCCTTTGACCTGGAAGGAAAGGTGATGTGAAGGAAGGACCTCATGGTCCCTTCCTGGTGGATACCATCTGTCCTGAGGATGGGCTGGCAGTTGATTGCTAAGGGGCAGAAGAGAGGCAGGAAGAGATTGCTTCCAAGGGACAAAGATGTCTGGAGCTGAGGGATAAGACATCCTGTGGTAGGGCTCCTGTGGTAGGAGATTAGTTACTGGAGAGAGCTACATCAAGACTCACACCTACAGCCATCTACAGAGTGAGTTCTAGGACAGCTGGGACTGTTATACAGAGAAATTCTGTCTCCAATCCTACCCTCCTTAAAGACTTACACCTACAAGAATTCAGTTGGCAGAGAAGTAATGGACCCCCTTCTACTCTTCCTTAACCGACCTTTAAGTGCCAAACACAGCATGCTCAAGAAAGGCTCACGGGGGGCTGGAGATATGTCTCAGAGGTTAAGAGCACTGACTGTTCTTCCAGAGGTCCTGAGTTCAATTCCCAGCAACCACATGGTGGCTCACAGCCATCTATAATGAGATCTGGTGTCCTCTTCTGGCGTGCAGGCATACATGCAGACAGAGCACTGCATACATAACAAATAAATAAATCTTTTTAAAAAAGAGAAAAAGAAAGGCTCATGAAACATACACGGGGGAGGTAAGTGTTTTGTAAACATTGCATAAAGGTTCATGTGCCTTGTAGCCCAGGTCTTTTGGGGTACACTAGCCCACTTACATCGATAATACTTTCCCTTTTGTAATAAACTGTCTCTATTTCTATGTTTAGCCATGTGTCCCTAGTCTAATTCATTGCCTCCTGACATAAGAACCTGGGTGTCTCAACAGGTGCCAGTACCCTGGGACTCAGGTCCATGCTTATTTGTTTATTTAAAAAATGTGTTTGTGTACACATTTATTTATCAATTGCATGTGTGTGTATCTGTCTGAGTTTATTTGCACAATGTGCATTCAAGAGCCTGCAAAGGCCAGAAGAGGGGACCAGATCCCTTGGAAGTGGAGTTATAGGTGGTTGTGAGCTGCCATGTGGGTGCTGGGAACTGAGCTTGGGTCCTCTGTAAGAGCAATAAGCACTCTTAACTGTTTAGCCACCTCTCAAGCCCCAGATCCATTATACCATGAAGATTGCAAGTGAGAAGCCATGCCAAACAGCCAGATTTGAAACCCCACAACCCTGGGTCTTCCACCCAGTCACCCTGTCTCATTCCTTCTTTGCTCAAGATGTTCCCATCACCTTAAACTTCATCGCGTGGTTTTGTAAATATTCGCCTGCCATCACTATGTTTGACTCAAAAGTCTCTTCTCTCTGATGTCCTCTCTAGTGTGGACCAACAATCCAGGCCACCAATAAAGCAATGTAGCACTGAAGAGCATCAATTACCTGTCCCTTCTGTTGTCATCATGAGACCATGGGGGAATACAGACTGGAGGATGGAGAAGAAATGCTATAACCTGGTATGCTGTCCCAGAGCTCTGCTGGCTCCCAAGAACAATGCTGTCCTTGCTTTTAGTCCCTGGATCGAGTCAGGACTTCATTGTCTATTAATTGTTATGCATTTGTGTGTGTGTGTGTGTGTGTGTGTGTGTGTGTGTGTGTGTAGGGGGAGCAGGCTGTTTAGACTTTACCTGATACTAGTTAACTTATTCTAAAAATAATTATAACCTAAAAATAATTATAACAATTAAAAGTTTTCCAAGTCTAAACCAGGGAGAAATATGTGGTACCCCAGGGCTGGCTTTGACACCATGGGAAGAAGCAAAAAAAAAAAAGTCCATCCCCTCCACTGCAAGCCCACTGTTCTGCTTACAGATGCATGCCAGCTTTCACCCATCCCTGGAATATGTGTGTTGACTCAGCCCTCTACCTGGAACCCTTCCACTCAATTTTCTTCCTGCCTGGATTTTGGGTCTGTAAGCCTTAGGTCAAATGTTCTAGATACTCTTGAAGAATGTTCTTTCTTCTTTCATCGTCTTTTGTATTGCAGTAGTGTCCTCCGTCCTACCCACAGATGACACATTCTAAGACTAACAATGGATTCCTGGTACCACAGAGAGTGTGCTGAGTCCTATGCATGCATATGTCCCTGTGGTAAGATTTTACCTTTCACATAAAAATGCTCTTTATGACTTTTCTTTGGCCAAGAAAAATGTCAATTATAACTACTGCTATCCTGTGGGGGTCATTCTTTAGTGAAATAAAGTGTACTTGGACGTAAGCACTGAGATATGACCACAGTTCATCTGACACTTGGGGTATTACCGAGTGATTACTAGGTGGGTAGGACATACAGCACGGACACACCAGACAAAGGGACGATTTCCCAGGCAGGATGGAGTGCAATGCTGTGAGCTATTATCATGCTACTCAGAACAATGTGCAACTTAGGAATAATAAATAATTTATTTCTGGAATTTTCCATTTAATATTTTCAAGAGGAACACTAAAGTTGATTGTACTTTAAATATATTTCTAGATTACATTTTATTTCATGTGTGTATGTATGATTTTGTGCATGCCCATGCATGTATATTACATAGTGTACATAGGGGGTGGGTAGGATGACATCGTGCTGGAGTTGGTTCTCGCGTCCTACTATGTGGGTCCCAGGGACCAAACTCAGGTTTTTAGGTTTGATTGCAAGCACCTTTACTCACTGAACTATTTTGCTTGACCCAAGGATTGTATTTCAGAGTAAGATATTTGTTAGAACTGAGTTATATCATCACAGATAGACAACAAACATGGTGAGGGTTTTGAAGAGTGTTCAGGCCAATGAGACAATGGCAACAGGGGTTGGGGTTCCCTCTTTTAGGTTTTAGAAGCTGGGGAAGGTCCCATGCTATGGACTTGATGAGTAGACCATAGTGTGTGCATGCAGACAGGTTGTCCCTAACTCTTGAATAGTAAGAGGAGGGGTGGGAGTTAACACACAACATCTGGAAATGCAGGACAAGCTATAACAGGCATTCTCTCAGATGCCGGCAAACCTGAAAAAGAGTGAGAGAAGTCCTGAAAAGGAAAAAAAAGAGCAGGAAACCAGGCAAGAGGCCCAAGGCCACACTTGCTGAGGATGTTGGCCAGTCCAGTCAAAGATGCATAGATTTTTTACTGTAAACTAAAGACATTCTCAAACCTCTTCCAAACAGGGAGATAAAAACCAAAGCGACTCCCCAAATTCAGCTCTTACTCTGTTTTCTGTCATTTTAATCATTGTCCAACATTTTCTTCTGGGCATAATGTGACTATCTCATTGTCCTGTAGCCATGGCAACCAATTGAGCAGAACAATGCAATGATAGCTAGGTTGATATTAATGATTATGGGGCTGTTGACATTAGCAGAAGGAGGAATGGGTCATAGGACTGTCACCTGAGACTCCTTCCCGTTCTTCTAGTTACAGGTGATCTTGGGAGGTGTTGGAGTCTGTATGCAGAGGGAGATTACCGGAAAAGACAGAGGAGCTCTACGGTGCAGCCTCCATGGGGTCAGCACCCATGACTGGGTTGGAACTCTGTGGTTATACAGCTGCTTTGGGTTTCCCCCACAGCCCTCTGAGTAAGCCCTCCCTTATGATCTGTATGTAAGACAGATGAAGTCATTGCCTCTCCAGGTTGGACTTTGGTGGGATTGTTCCTTTCATTTGTTATTGGTGCTCTATCTGGAGGCCTGTTCATGACTCCAAAGATAAGCTAACGTAACACTAAGTGAATTCCAAAGACTGGTCCTTCATAGAGAATGCTGAAAGTCCATCCAGACCTCAGTAAAGACAGACTTTCCAAAACAAGAGACTTGAGGACACATTCAAACCATAGTGGATGGTCCCAAAGAGTTATGAACCCTGGAGGAAGTTACCTGTAACCTCAGGAAGTGGCAAGGACCTTGTCCTTTCTCTATTGAACAAACCAAAGCAAGCATACAAACCAAAAATCCAGAGTTTCTGGTAGATAATATTTGTGTGCTCTTAAGTGTGGGGACCACTATGATGTAGCTGTGGTTTAATGTCTCCCAAGAGTCCCCATGTGTTGGAGGCTTGGTTCCCAGAGGCACACTATTGAGAGTGGTCCGGTGGGTAGTTGTAAGTATGGAATGTGAGAATCCAGGTGCAGCTCAGGCCACCACACCTGTGGCACTTCTCTCACAGACACTGTCTATCAATGTCTAACTAACAGACTCTCAGGTGCCAAGACACTCAGCTATAAAGTGCCAAAAGAGAGGCCTTGGTGATCATACTCCTGCTCTCCTCCCCTTCCCTGACCCTGTCTGTAAACCAGAGAGCCTGGAGGCAGCCCTATACTGTGAAACCTCCTCCATCTATTTATGTCACATGGGCCTCTCTTCAGAGCCGTGGCCATGCTGTCAGTCTCTGTGCTGGGGTCTGAACTCTCCTCAGAGTCCCCACCATGCTGTTGTCTGTCTGTCTGTCTGTCATGTCATTAATAACTCTTCTAATAAACTACTCAGTCTCCAGTAATCTGTCTTAGTCTCCCTCTTGAACCCCGTCCTCAAACCTTTCAGAGGTCCTTAGAGTATCAGGGGTGTGATCTTGGGAGGGATGAAAGTATTTGTCAAGTAATGTCTTGGCTGTTCTGAGGAGAAGGTTGTTACAAAAGGAACAAACCTAGTCTTTCCTACTCTCTGCTTTCTAGGTTGGAATGAAGCTCCTAGCTCCTAAATACTCCCTCTGTAATACAATGCCATCTGTTTCCTATACCAGATGTCAATGAAACAAAGCTACTCAACGTGCCCTTCTACAACCCCAAACTGAACTACACATACCTACCTCTTGATAAGTAGTCTGCTTCAGGTGTTTTGTTACAGTAGTGAAAAGATGACAAATGGCATGTTCATTAGATGAGAAATGACTGCAATCTGACTCTGATCAGTGATGTCCTATGGCTCAGCTACAGACACAAATAAGGGCAGAAGTTCCCTGTTCTCACAGCTTGGTTTCTTATTTGGGGAAAGTCTTCATCTCTAAAGACTCAGACCTATGCCAGCCCCAGTCCTCTCTCCTGAACTGTTTCCCATGCATTGTCCTCTCCCAGATTCAAGGAGACTGGAAGATTGAATATTTTTAGCCATAATTCTAAATTCTGCTAATTAGAAAGAAGTAGGGAGGGAGAGATGGTGGACAGGCAGCCAACACCACAGGATTTGAAAACAACATGATGATCTGATTATCTACGAAGAGAACAGCATGGATGCTACTGAAGAATGATGAGAGCAAACAAATGAGATCAGTGTGTGTGCTCTTCTATAACTTCACTGGTCAAGCCAGGAATGATGGTGCGTGCCTACAATTCCAGCACTTGGGAGGTAGAGGAAGGAAGATTGGGGTTGAAGGCCAATGTTGGCAACAAAGATTGATGTGAGCCTGGGCTATGTGAGACTGTCTCAAAAAATAACTACTAAATAAGTGAATAAGTAAATATCAGTACACAAAAATTAATTGAATTGATTATAGCAAGAGAAAATCACTAAAGGGTGCAGTAAAGCCCATGCAAACCAGTTATGGATAAAACTGTGGAAGTTTCCCAAGACATAATGAGAGGTTGATGATGGAGAAGAGTCAAGAGCAGAAAGGCAGAGGTAGCTAACATCTTAGCACTCAGCCATCCCTCCCCTGGCTAGCACCCTGGAGACCATTCCCTTTCACCCCCAAAGTGTGTGCTGGGGGTAGGGAGGGAATGTTCAGAGCAGCGTTGTAAAACAGTGGAAAGTCAGGGTCTCCCTGGTTGCCACCCATAAGAGGACACAAGATTACTACATCAATGAGAGGAAAGACCTCTATAGTCAATGTGCCAGCCACAGTGTGCTCTAGACTAGAGAGAACGAGACAGTGAAAACAAATCCCAGAAAGAAACACATAGAATTTCCCCACTTGTTGGTTCATGATATGCAAAACAGAACTGTTAATTATTCATGGCTTTGAACAAATGTTGAGAAATGATCAAGAGGTGTGTGGAGGGGCAAAGTACTGAATTCTGGGTAGGAGTTGCTTCTGGTGTGGTGACCAAAGACTGGGGTGAGCCGGGCGTTGGTGGCACACGCCTTTAATCCCAGCCCTCGGGAGGCAGAGACAGGCGGATCACTGTGAGTTCGAGACCAGCCTGGTCTACTGAGTGAGTTCCAGGACAGGCTCCAAAACAATACAGAGAAACCCTGTCTCGAAAAACCAAAAAAAAAAAAAAAACCAAAACAAAACAAAAAACAAAAACAAAAACAAAACAAAAAAACAAACAAACAAAAAAAACCAGACTGGGGTGGTGTGCAAATATGGGGATGGCCTGGCTTGGTAAGAGTGGAGAAAGGGCTCCACATGCCTTCTTATGTCTACCCTCAGTCTAATGGGTGTCTACCACAGAGTTATTATGATCTTTTTGTAAATATGAATTATTATAAAATCAAATTTTAACTGATTGAGGAGATGCCTCAGTTGGTAAAGCACTTGCCTTTCAAGCATGAGAACCTGAGTTTGGCTGCTCAGAACCTTGTAAAAAGCTGGGCATAGGGCTGTACACTTGGATCCAGTAGCACCGTGGAGGTAGAGAAAGGTGGACCCCTGGATGGTAGTTCTTTTGCTAACCTAGTCTATTTGGTACAGATTGAGGCCAGTGAGAGTTGCTCTTTCAAATGAAAGGTGGAAGATGTCTGAGGAATGGCACTTGAGGTTGTTTTTTAACTTCCATAGGCACGTATGTGGGCATATGCATCCACACATGTGTAGTTACACACACACACACACACACACACACAATCAATCAAAATTCAAAAAATCTTAAAACCAAAATGCATATTCTAGAAAGGAACTTGTATTGGTTTCCGCAACCCACTCACAGACTGTCCTTTGCTTAAAGAGCAGGGAAAGGCGACTTTGACCGCTGCTGATGCTCAGGCTAGGAGTGATTTGCTGAGTGGTTTGCAGAAATGTAGCCAGTTACAGACGAGGTCAAGACTAGAATCCAGTTCTTTCTTTACATAGGACACTTCCATGAAATGAAAAATCCCCATGATTTATGAGTTTTGTAGGCTAGGGTTTCTATGTATTGAATTTCTTCAAACAGGAGAGCTGACCTTCCAAAGAGAGAACCCGCATAGCCCCACTCTTCCTTTAGGGACAGCAGGAGAAGACCCTGAGAGTTTAACATTGATCACAGTTCTGAGATTCCACAGAGTTGGGTTTGAGCTTGGAGGGGGGCGGTCTATGCCCTGTGCACCCAACAGACATGTGCAAACTGATGACATCTCCCAGTGGTGTTTTCTGGGGCGTGCAGGAAGAAGACTGGACAAGGAACTCTGCAATGTGAATTTCAGACACCTTGAAGTTTAACCTCAGGAATTAACACATGGGTCACAGTGCTTTTGAGGACTGGGCATTATGGCAGGAAAGTTACATCTGTTAAAAAAAAACAGTACCCCCAAAGTTGATGTGGTGGAGCTGTGAGCATCCCTTCCAGTGTTTGTCAAGGAGCATGGGGCTGGCTTTTCTAGGAAAGTCTATTTAGACTCTGACACAGATTTCATTTCTTTTTAAGGCAACAAGGGTGATAAAGTATCTTAGTGTAAAATCAATAGAAAGCAGTTTAGTGGCTTCTGAAAGTCTTCCAAGAGGCCTTTCCTCCCCGTCCTCTTGGTGGGAGAGATCAAAGGCGAGGTTACCAGCTTCCTTGTGTGTTTTAGTTATTTGCTACGTAAATCACCAAAGAACATTTAGGAAGCCATTTAGAATCGGGGAAGGGCTCTTCTCCAGCTTCCATCACCTCTCACTGCCCCTATAAAGGATGTAGGGAGAAAAGGCCCTCCCATTAGACTAGTCTACAAGCCTGAGGACTTGGGGGTTATTTTTCTTAAGTACCACGCTGTTGGTGTTTCCTCCACTCTGGAAGAAAAGCCGAGAAACAGACTTCCATTTTCTCCCTGGAAGGTTTTCCTTCCATCTGCCAGACACCCAGACTGAAGTGTTGCACTTGCTGACTCACAGTTCATTGGCTGGCCACAGCGTGTATTGTAAAGTTAGCATGGCTGGAACTGTGGTGGGAAGCGGGGACAGGGGCTTTGCTGCAAATGAGGTCGAGTGTGAGGGCAGTAGCGGTGGCGGTGGCGGCGGGGAGAACCGAGATGTGACTTTGGTCATGGTAACTGCCTGGCTCATGCCACTGTCATTGACACTCCTACTTGTTGTGTAGGAATCCCATCAACATGCCATCAGTCAGCACAGCATGATCCCTCACTAAAGGTTTCTTGTCCCTCACTGCCGTCTTTACATGATGACGTGGTCTCGCTATGCAGCTCAGGGCGATCTGAAATGTACCTTTTTTCTACCTTAGCTTCCCTAACATTGGGGTAACCTCATGTCTGGCTGGTTCTCCCAACATTTAGGTACCTGGTAGGATTCCATTTCACTACCTCAGAGAAGCTAAGATGTCCATTGTGGCAACTGTTATAGTCAATGAAACACTTTCACCCTTGGTACCCATGATGGATGGGTTCTAGGAGCCCCACAGACACTCAAGCATCTAGTCTGAGATGATACAGGACTTGCACACAGCCTATACACAACCTCCAGCACCCTTTGGTCTTGATTACTGATGTATTTCTGAGGAGACACCATGACCAAGGCAGCTTAGAAAGCATTTAATTAGGGGCTTGCTTACAGTTTCAGAGTCCATTATTACCTTGGTGGGGAGTGTGGCATCAGGAAGGCAGGCATGGTGCTGGAACCACAAGTTGCAGGCAGAGATCAAAACTGGGCTTGATGAGGGCTTTGGAAACCTCAAACGTACCCCCTGGTGACACACCTCCTCCAATAAGGCCACATCTCCTAATCCTTTCTAAACAACCCATCAACTGGGAACCAAACATTCAAGTATATGAGCCTATAGGGGCCATTCTTAAGCAAACCTGCACACCTTTAGATCTTCTGTAGATATTTCTCTCACAAAGCTAATTTGAATGCAACATTGACAGTTGTTCTATTATGTAGCTTTGACTAGAGGGCTGAAGTAGATGGCTTAGTTGGTAAAGCTCTTGGGTTGAGCCTTGACAGCACAAGGACAAGGATTAGGTTCCCAGAATTCACGTGAAGAAGCCAGGTAGGGTGACAGATATTTGCAATCCCAGTGCCTCTCTGTGCTGGGAAGATGGAGACAAGAGAAGCCCCGGGGGTTCACTGGCCAGCTTTTCTAGCATTCTTGGTGAGTTCGAGACCAATTCAGCAGTGAGCATTTTTGTCTCAAAAAAGGAAGTAGATGATCTGAGGTAATCCTCTGACTTCCATATTATGAGTACATATAAACACATGCACATTTACACACATGTGCACATACAAGGGTAAGAAAAAATCTGTTTATGTTCTGTGTAGACACTATTTTTGTTATTGACTATCTCTGATCTGTGATTGGGGAAATGACAGCAATGGGACAGCCAGACATAGAGGGCCACCTCTATGAATATAAGGAATGT